AATTGTGCTATCGTGAAAATGTGTTAAGCAGGCACATGTTAAATGAGGAATTACTGTACTCAACACACATTTCTGCATAAGGCAAGGAGAAAAGATAGACTTTGCAGCACAACCTGAAGGCTGACAAATTCAGGCCATTACAGAGAGAGGGTAAAAGTGAATTCCAAAAAGCTACAGCCCTCAAAAGCTGCCATGTGGAATCATATCTTAATTTTTGTAATCACCTTTGAGTGGAAAAGCAGTGTGAACAATTTATGTCCAAAGAGTAATTTTGTTCCCTAAAGTCAAAAGCATCTTCAAAATACAGCTTCATGCTGTAGGCTGATTCCTTAACAGGATTTCTACTTTGTAGCTGTTAATATCATCATAAATTTCAACATCAGTTGCGTCTCTCAAAATTCTTTTGCATTTTTTGAAACTGACACCCCAATAGCTAGTGAAGAAAGAAGAAGCAGTGATATATGACAGGTTGAACCGCTAATCGGGCATCCTTGGAACCTGACCGGTGCCAAACCACAGGAGGTCAATATTATTCAGCAGCATTACCAACACTGCCACTGCTTTCTGGGCTCTTAGACTACAGGGTTTTGTCGACAGAAGTTTTGTCAACAGATACTGTCGACAAAGCTTCTGTCGACAAAGAGCGTCTAGACTACATCCAGTTCTGTCGACAAAGCAAGCCGCTTTGTCGACATAACAGCGTGGATGCAAAGTCCACTTTTGTCGACAAAACCCTGTAGTCTAGACACACCCTTAGAAGACATTTCCAGGTAAATTAGAGCTAAATAACATCACAGAACACCAAGAGTCAGGACTGGTGGCTGTAAACAAATGTTATGGGTCTCCAGGAAACTTGGCTACACCCATAATATGTGGACATCCAACTAACTAAAATCATGCTGAACCTTGGTTGTTGCCAGACCAAAGAGTGCCAGCGTAGAGGGCTTCAAACTGTACATGCACACATTTGGTAAGAAACTTCAGCCATCTCTATTCTGAGTTTTATTCACTGAATCTGCTGGCAGCTGACTTGAAATTTTTTTTAAACAGCTGAACCAATCTATTTTACAATAAAAATAATCCCTCGGTTGACTGACTAGCAAGATGCTACAACTGAAAATAGGCATGGCACCAACTGTCCCTTTTAACTTGATCAAAGAGCCATGTATAAATGTTTGTTCAAAATGTCAACAGTGTTTCATAGAGATTTCACAAGTTACTAACCGAACAAGATTTCACATGATTATTCTAGCACATGCTCAGGCAAACAAGTTGTTCTTGCAGCCACATAGAATTAGCTTCTGCTAAACTAGCCTCCAAGGGAGGTTAATCCTGAGGGAATTCAGAGTAAAAAAAATAAAAAATTAAAATAAAAAAAAATCTGCACACAATATTTCAAAATTCTGTCTATTTTACTTGTCAATAAATAAATATGGAGGCTTCAGCATGGCAGTGGGGAGCATAGGACAGTGGCTGTCTGGAGGTGGGGAAACACCCTGCAGCCCCCCCTTCCTTCTGCCTCCCCACCCTGGGACTTGGAGTCAGCAGTGATGCTGCACCCAACCCTGACACGATTCTGCAAAGGCATTGGGATAGTGTCACACAGGTGCATGCAAAGCCTGGTCCTGCTTCAGGTGAGGAACTGACATGCTCAGCCTGGCCAGATACAAGGGCAGAGGGTATTGCTGTGGGAGAATCCAGGTGTGGGTGTAAGGGTTCTGTGTGGGGCCTGGGAGGGTTGCATAAGGTTGGGGTCTGGGTGCAGCTGGTTGGGGCTCAGTGGGATGGGAGTACAGGTGCAACGGGTTATTAGGACACAGGGGTAGGGTCTGGATGCAAGGTGGGGATGCTCAAGCACAGGGGAGGCTCAGTGAGGTGGGGGCTCTGATGGAGGGGATTCAGTGTGGGGTGGGTCTGGATGTTGAGGGAGAGATGTAGATGCTTGGGTGTTGGGCAAATGAGGGAGCAGCTCCCTGTATTGTGATTCCTCCTCCTACAGCTGAGGAGTAAGGTAGGCAGGAAGTGGGTGGGACAGAGTTTCTTGCAGTCAGGGGAGTAGATCTGACCTAACCCCAATTCTGACCACTCCTTTTAGGGGGAAGAGGAAGGCCAGGCTTTCCCCCCTTCTCCTGGGCCAGCTAGGACTGGCAGCTGAACCCAGAGCAGAGAGAAGAGACACCATCCAGTGTGTCCCTAGCCTAATCAACCATCCCGTGGTGCGCTCTCCCTCTCTCTCCGCTGACTGCTCTCCAAGAGCCTGAAATGACACACACATGCTCTGCTGGAGAGGGGTGAGTGACTGCTCTTGTGAATTCCCTTTGCATCCCTTTTAGAAAGCCATTTTTCTGCACAGATGTGCAGAATTCCTCCAGGAATAGGAGATGGATACTGTGATAGACAATAGAAATTCAAGAATTTTCTACTACGGAGTCCCCCAACATCTTTAGATGCCCCCCCCCCCCCCTTTTTTTTTTAAACACATCTCTAGCTACTTTGAATATCACTTCTATTTGGAGTATATCCCAATCTATATTACGGTTTGCTGTTTTGCCCCCTTTCTTGGTTTCTGTCTTTATCTTATCTTCTTGTTCGGTATAAACTTGCTTAACATATTATATCCATGAGGTATTTTATCTATTTGTAAAACTGCCTCATCCAAATCTCCACTTGTTCTGTGTGTCCTCAATTTAAATCTCAATTTTGCCTCAAATCTTCAGAACTCATATATTCAACTTGACCTAAAATTCACCTGTTTCCTACTTTCTCCAGAAAACCTATATCCAAAACAAAGAGTCTTGACCATTCTCCCGCTAAAACTGCTCTTCTTTCATCTGTTCTTGGGTATTATAAACTCCTTCTTCATGGTCCCCATAAAACCCAAATTTTTGAATTTCAGTTTGTCCAAATGCAGCTGCTCATTTATGCATCTGCCTGGAGACGGTAGCACATCATTTGGTCTCAGAAACCTGTATTAAATGCCTATTCACTTCAGAATACGGAACAAAGTCTCTTTCCTAATCTTCAAATCCTACACATTTCCCAACACTTCCCCTGAATCCCATTCCCTATGTTCCTACAATGTCCAACTTCTACATTGAGGAAACTTCTACAGACATGTTCACATACAGGAACCCTGAAACAGGCTTCCTGCTTTGCTATGACTATTTCTTCTGGTTTGTAATTTCCAATCTCTTTTTAAAAACAACCAATGTCTTCTCCTTGAAGATTAGCCACTGCCCCATCACCTTCCTAACACATATACAGGTACAAGTAATGTTTTACTTTGTTTTCACATACTTTTTTTTCCACATTCATTTTTCTCTCAATCTGTGGTTTTTCTACCTTAGAAAATGGATCAATTCAGCTCTTTGAACCTGTTTGTATTGCCCAAATATATATAAAATAATCTCTAACCTATTGTGCAATACATTAGAAGTTTATAAATATGCTTCTTACTCCAGGAATACATTTCTAATATACTATAACCGTAGCACACAGTACAAAATTATTTAAAAAATGTTATTCTCTAACAGAATCAGAAGTACAAACTTACAATTTCTAGGCGTACTTTAAGACATAATTACGGCCAGCTGGGCTTCAATTCTGAGAGAATTTGATACATAAAATATTCCTGACCCTGTAATTTTTGAAAGACAGTGCCAAATACTGTGGACCAACTTCTGTAGCTGCAAACTGATACTGCAGTTAAGATCAGTTGAAGAGGCAAAAGTGTTTTATTTGTGCAGGCTTTTTCTAAAGACTTATTCAAAATACCTTAAATAAATTGATTCTTACCTATAGCATTCAGGAAATGCAGTTTCAATATCAGAGTTAAGTGTAAGCCTCTAATTTATTTGTACAAATGTAATAGTTGTGCATCTAAAATCAGGATTATTAATTTCCACACAGAAATGTGGCAATTGCACATCAAAATAAAGTATGAACAATAATAGAATTATTTGTGGTAGTAAACTCTATACATGTAAATTCAGGCCCCAATCCTTGTTTACCCAAAAACTTAGGCATATACTTAACTTTAAGCACATGCTTATGTCCCCAGTGAAATCAATGGAAACCAAGTGGAAATTTTTTCCCCAAGTGAAAATAATTGCACTTGAACCTCTTCATTCTGGCAACTCTGGGAAACAGAGTATACTAGAGTAAAGAATTTGCTAAGCCAAAGAGGGCGCAATGGGATCTGGGCATGAGCGGTTTGGGGTGGGGCGCTTACTTGGTTACACATGGCTCCACACTCCCTGCTGCTCCCAGGCACCATCCCCTGCCACTGTGAGAATGGCAGGGGAAAGCCTCAGGGTAGCGGCTTCCTCTTCCACCTGCTAGGATCTGTACCACAGGTGTTCCCGGATAAGGAATACCTGGAGTCCAAAGGTGTGTGTGTATTTATTTAAATTTGGGGCATATTTTCCAGTTTACATGTTAAGTGGTTTTAGTCACTTTAAATCAATATTTTAAGCAAGTGCTCTTTACCAACACAAATGTTTGCTTTGAAACATTTGTTACCTGACTATTTCCCACAGATTAATCATTGAATTTTAAATTCCAACTGATAAAGATAGGTTAGTGCGAATACCATCAAGTCTACTTGCACTACCAAACTGGGACATGATTCTGATCTGATTTACACACACACACACACACACACACACACACACACACACTGAAGTTACTCCTTATTCACAGTGATGTAAGTGAGCGCAGATTTATCAGCTTATATATGTGGCATGGAATGTACATTAGATTTCCAGATAGGAAAAATATTGCTTGGGCCTTGAATTAAAAACCCATGATTATTTGAATACTATTGTTGACATCAGTCAGTAGATTTGTGGTTAAAACAGTCATACCTCTATAAATTACCTCACAATCCCTTAAAATAAAATACAAATAAGTAAAATTTTAAAATTAAACTTCTGATTGTGAGACCATGCCACCAAGACATAGGCTTGCTAAAAATATTTCAAGAAATATGTTCAGCTAACCTTTGGGCTGGCACCTTATTCTGGCTATTCTCTGCCTTAAGACGTAGAAAGCTGCAAAACAAATGTCCAAAAAAATAAATTCCAGCTTTTTATTTTCCTGTAAGGAAGATGGACTTGGCTTGGGTTTTATCAACTTGCTACATTCCTGGAGATTTACACACATTTAAGAGTCAAAGCTTCTCTGAAATAAAAAAAAAATCTGGGACATATTTTAAAATGGAAATAACTTACTATTTTGTTATGAGATTTCACAAATGTATTATGGGATATAAAAGTAATCACAATTAATGATGTTATGCTATTCTTACTCAATCAGTCAGTGAGCTCCAACTCAAAGTATAATAGCCATTTCACACAGCTGTAAAAGTTATCGTATTTCAAGGTTCAATCTCATTGTTTTCGTTAACAGAACATGAACACTTTTCTTAAAGAGACAGTATCCTTTCCTTTAAATATATAAACTGGTGTAGATTTTCCCCTATAACCAACAAAGAGTTAGCCTCTGGCTACTAATTTTTGTGCAACTAAGATAATGTGCACTTAAGCATTGGAACAGCTGTCACCAATAAAGATGCTGACATAAATTGCTGGTCATCTTTATAGTAATTAAAAAGTTGATTGTCCTCTGAAATGAAGCTAATACTTATCAGCCTTTTCTACTTTCACTAGTATGTAATTAATAACCTATAAGAAAATAAAATACAAAAACACAAGATCTGTGTTCCCCATTTCAAATTAAATAAATATATTTGCAAATAAAATGGACTGTCAGCGTATCAATCAGTGCTACTTAAGGTAGCTAAGTGATAGTGATTTCACTTACACTCATTACATCAATGTAAACAGTGGACAGAAAGAATTATAAGTCCCTAAAGGTCTGTTTCAAAGCCCACTGAAGTCAGGGGAAGGGTTCCCATCAATTTTGGAACAAGCTCTAAACATACAGAAGTGCTTACATACTTACATCAACATGTAAGTGCTACTAGAGACAAATATAAATAGCCAAAACACATTACTGGCAAAAAATACTAGATTACAAAATCCTTGTATTTATAGAGTGAGATGTAATCAGAGAGGGACGGATACTGTTTCTTTAACACCATTTAAAATATTTTCTGATATTTTAAAACAATATACTTATGAACTTTAAAAATGTAATTGAATAAAAATAGCAAAAACCTTACTATTGTCTTACATAATAATACAGCAGTAGTGCAGTTCTGTATACAATGTCTGGTCTTTTTAGATTATTTAAAGATGCACAAAAAACTTTGGTAATTTTTCAAAAAATGGACGTGTGGTGTATCGCTGACTTGCATTTGTGCAAACCTAGTGAACTATACCAGATTAAATTAGGCCCCAATCCTGCCCTCACTGAAGTCAATAGCACAAATCCTATTGACTATAACGGGCTCACTATGAAACAGCCAATCTCTCTCAATTTAGTATTTGCAAGGCTCATTACCGACACAAAACATGGTTTTGCTTTTAGTTGAGATTAGTGCATTTTTCACTATACAGAACTGCATTTCTATTTAAAGCATTGTTATGGCCCCAGAACTGAAATCCTAAACAATTTGAGGCCTATTCTCTCATCAGCGCATGAAGGGATTTATATGGAAAACTCCCACCAATGCTAATGAGAGCTACAAAAAGCCTCCATGCAAGTATCAAGGAGAGTATAAACCTGTGTTTGCAATTCATGTTAAAATATTTGTGTTACACAATTTAGAAAAATATGCATTTTATCTCATAAAGACAGGAGCAGTAGCAATAGCAACAGCAGCAGCAGCAGCAGCATTTACCAAATAGCCTCTCCGCAGCTATTGTGAGAAAGTAGCATCATGCAAAATTTCCAGCAGAGCACTTGGTTACATTTGCCTTTCTAGCACCCTCTGTGTACACCTGTGAAAGCCCTGCTACTCGGTGTTGGTAATATAACTTTATGATCTTGTGTTTTACTATGCTTGGCCAAAACTACCAAGCCAGTTTGCATTACTATTGCAGGATTTGTGTAGTTTTATACAGTACTTTTACACAATGGGATGAATATTGAATTATTTAATTCCCTCGACTGCCTTATGCTATTAAAACAATCTCAACTACTACAGTGGAAGATGCTAGGAAAATTTATAATTGGCCTATTTTTTAAAGATCTCTTTATAAACTGCTCAGTTACCTCAGCGGTAAAAAATAATAGATGCCATGTACTTTGTTAGTGCTAAGGAGAGTTCCATTGTTGGATGGTTGATGGTAATAAATATCACTCTTCTTTAGAAAATGAAAAACTACAGTAGCAATTGTATTTCAGAGATACACTTCCTACTGATCTGCCATTTCTACTTTTCAGTTCAATGGCATTATGTATTTGAATACAAATGGCAAAGTCTCAGGTGGTACAAATTGGAATAGCACCATTGACTTCACATTGTTTTTTATAGCTTTTCTTTCAAAAGATTTACATGTTGGTTTGTACTTAATCTTAATGAAGTCTCTTACTCTCAAAACCTTATTTACTAAGAGGAGTTTATATCTTGGGTATCAACTTTCAGCTACAATTTCAGATAATGTAAAATGGAAGAAAAAATGATCTTGGAAACACACAGTGTTAATGTTTAATGTAGCTTAACTATGTAAAGCTGACACATAAATGATCTGCAAATATGCATGCAGGCAAGTCCAAAGCACGTGCATCTTATGGATATGTAGAAACAATCTTGTATGGCCACTAAAAGAACCACAGAAAAATGTGTTATCTAGATAGAACCTAGATTCTTGTTTAGCAACATAGAATTGAATAAGTCAAATGAGTCAAACAGAGAATACCTGTACCTATGAGGAACTCAGATTATTATTTAGATATAATAATCGATGGGAAACCCCTGAAACAACCCATACACTATGTCTAGACTACAGGGCTACGTCTACACTGGCATGATTTTCCGGAAATGCTTTTAAGATCGTCAGTGTTCTTGCGGAAATTCAAGCGGCCAGTATAGACAGCTGGCAAGTTTTTCCGCAAAAGCAGATGATTTTGCGGAAAAACTTGCCAGTCTAGACACAGCCCAGGGGTTTTTCGAAAAAAGTGGCCTTTTTTCAAACTAACTTCACAGTGTCTAGACTGCTGCCACGTTCTTTCAAAAATTAAATCGAAAGAACGTGGCGTTTTTTCCGACAGTGGTAAACCTCATTTTATGAGGAAGAATGCCTTTTTTCAAAAGAGCTCTTTCAAAAAAAGGCGTTCTTGACTGCAAACAGGTCTTCTTCGAAAAAGTTGTGGCTGTCTAGACAATCTCTTTCGAAAGAAGCTTTTTCAAAAGATTCTTCCAAAAAAGCTTCTTTCAAAAGAAGCGTGTAGTCTAGACATACCTATAATGAATGGTTGAAAGGTACAGAAATATCATTTGTGCTAAAAAAGGGTTTCATGAGCCATACTATTTCTATTATAAGGCTCTGCACAGAAACAATATTGTTTCCATCCTTGTACCTTAGCTATCTGTTATGTTAAACCCCATAATAATCCTCCTTAGTATATAGCAATATTGCATGCATTGTTCATATATATCATCTAGCTAGTTAACACACTCCTCAGCATGGTTGAATTTTAATAATAGGCCAGATCCCCAGCTAGTGTATGTAAATCAGCACTGCTTCGCAGACTTTTAGTGGATCTTTGCCAATTACAACAGCATCTGGCTCAATAGAGACTTTTGCAAGTTTAGGCCTAGATTGCCCTCTCATATAGAAATATCCATGAGAGGAAACTCTCGGCCTGCTTATTCCTAATCAAGTGACAGGTTGGTCTTTTATGTAACAGTTATTCAGACACACTTTTAAAGTGCATTCACTACATAGGTAAAAATGCATACAAATATAATGAGGGGAAAAAAAGAGTATTCTGAGTCTCTATGCTATAAACAAAATTATCTTGCAAAGGACCAGAGGTCAGAAAAAACACCCACATGAGATGAGCTTTAATTTTGTCCAGGACTTGGATGCCACAGCAATTGGCATTACTAAAAACCCAAGAGAGCTTCATTTTTTTTTAAGCATCCATTTCTTGTGCTCACCACAGACACACTACTACTATAAGCTCTCACACAAAAACAATCCTTTCTGTGACTCATTAGACTGACTGACACTGCTGCACGAGGGTGAGATGTCACATGTGTAAGGGTTGATCAACTGGGACTTTATGAAGTAATTTCAGTTCTGGAATTTAAAGAAGAGCAAACTAAAGTTGGAATGGTACAGAATACTCACAGGCCCTCTTAAGCCATGGGAGCTCCAAGCAAATGCAAGGATCTGCCTGTGCAGAGTAATTTGCAGGATTGAGGCCTCAATATCTCAATGTCTCCATTGAGGTGCTGGCACAATTTGTATAGTGGGATGCTGAGAGCCACTGAAACAAACTGTAAACCCTGAATATAATGGAAACCCACTTCAAGTCAAGGGTGCTGAAATGCCCCGGCATCTTCAGTTCTATGGTCTCTACATTGTTATTAGTACAGAAATAAACTACCACTTAAATACTATATTGGTTTTTTAAAAGTTTTAGTCACTTCCAAGTTGGCTCTTGAATGCCAGATTTAATCCACAACCCAAATCTTCCTACCAGAACCTACAATTTCCAGACACACGGTTTGGTCCTTCACTTTGTTACAAGAGTGGTTATGGTAGAGGGCCACTATTTTTAAAAGTCTCTACAGTTAGGCTCTTATATCCCACTGGATCATTTTTTTGAATGTTTCAGTCTCTTTGTAGTCCCTTGGAGCTGCACAGGATGTCAGTGCCTTTAAATATCTTGCTATTTTTATTTAGGAGTCTGAATGTGGACTTAGAAAATTAACTTGAATTTGCTTTGGGGTCCACAAACTGATTCTTGGAAAACCTCAGAGATATAATCCAAGGTGCTTGGGAGCTCTTTCAGTTATTTCAGTTGTGGATCATCCCCTAGAGAACGTGCCAGTTTTGGAAGGAAGGTTTGTGATTATTGTCTTAAGGTTCAGCTCGGATTTCCAGCTCTTTTCTAATGCGACTGGTTATTTTTA